ACGATTCTGTGTCCCTCAGTAACGATTCTGTGTCCCTCAGTAACAATTCTGTGTCTGTAACGATTCTGTGTCCCCGAGTAACAATTCTGTGTCCCTCAGTAACAATTCTGTGTCCCTCAGTAACAATTCTGTGTCCCTCAGTAACAATTCTGTGTCTGTCCCTGAGTAACAATTCTGTGTCCCTGAGTAAACAATCTGTGTCCCTGAGTAACAATTCTGTGTCCTCAGTAACATATTCTGTGTCCCTCAGTAACAATTCTGTGTCTGTCCCTGAGTAACAATTCTGTGTCCCTGAGTAACAATTCTGTGTCCCTCAGTAACAATTCTGTGTCCCTCAGTAACAATTCTGTGTCCCTCAGTAACAATTCTGTGTCCCTCAGTAACAATTCTGTGTCTGTCCCTCAGTAACAATTCTGTGTCTGTCCCTCAGTAACAATTCTGTGTCTGTCCCTCAGTAACAATTCTGTGTCTGTCCCTGAGTAACAATTCTGTGTCTGTCCCTGAGTAACAATTCTGTGTCTGTCCCTGAGTAACAATTCTGTGTCCCTGAGTAACAATTCTGTGTCCCTCAGTAACAATTCTGTGTCCCTCAGTAACAATTCTGTGTCCCTGAGTAACAATTCTGTGTCTGTCCCTGAGTAACAATTCTGTGTCTGTCCCTGAGTAACAATTCTGTGTCTGTCCCTGAGTAACAATTCTGTGTCCCTCAGTAACAATTCTGTGTCCCTCAGTAACAATTCTGTGTCCCTCAGTAACAATTCTGTGTCTGTCCCCTGAGTAACAATTCTGTGTCCCTAAGTAACAGTTCTGTGTCCCTAAGTAACGGTTCTGTGTCCCTAAGTAACGGTTCTGTCCCTAAGTAACGATTGTGTGTCCCTAAGTAACGGTTCTGTGTCCCTAAGTAACGGTTCTGTGTCCCTAAGTAACGATTGTGTCCCTAAGTAACGGTTCTGTGTCCCTAATAACGATTGTGTGTCCCTAAGTAACGGTTTCTGTGTCCCTAAGTAACGGTTCTGTGTCCCTAATACAGAGAGATCTGTCTCTCTTGAATGACCAGAGGCAAATGGAGAATTGTAAGATGGCCGCAATTTATAGCTCCACCATTACACAGTGCTGGCTGGCTGCTGATTGGCTAATGCGATCTCATGTCATGAATGAATGCATTATGGGTCAGCGTGCCTTGTCTGCGAAATTTTCCTAATATTCGAAACGAATTCCACTTCGCCGAGTTCGATTCGCTCATCTCTACTAATGACACTGGGCAGGAAGGGGTTAACATCTGGTGCGATCAAAGGGTTAATTGTGTGCTATTTTTACGTGTTTTACTAGAGGGCTGTGTTTTTACTATGGAGACCTGCTGCTTTGTATCTCTGCTTTACACACAGCAGGGGCATCCCTAGGGTTGGTATCATCCGATGCCGGAACACTTGGTGACACCCCTTCCGATGATCCCTGCAGGATGGATCAGATCTTCGGATTGGGGAGGATAATGGATCGGGCTCCTCAATCCGTGGATCCGATTCATCCTGCGGGGATCGTCAGCTTGCATTAAAAATTACCTTTCCGTGGATCGGGTCTGGTGTTACACCGTGCAAAAGGTGTCACCCGATTTGGCACGCACCCCCCCGCACCTGCCTAGGGACGCCCCTGACACACAGATCTCTCCCGTCAGCTTCTTCTGAAGAAGCCCCGGTCAGTGGGAGGGGCGAAACATGTAGGCAGAAGGGATCATGTCCTCCTTCCACGTCCAATCCCCTGCTGAGGAGCCTGCTGGGTGCACGCCGGCTCTCGACCTGCTGTGTGCATATTGCATTTTGTGCTCATCTCCAAGGTATCGTTACCTGGGACTACATGGAAATCCGGTCCACTTCGCTAGCATGGATGTCCTGAGATCCACATGGTGAGACTGTTCCATCTACCTACTGCATTGAGTGATGGACTTCTCTTACGGCCTATGGACTACAGAGTCAATCAGCTACCAGGGTGTAGGCTGGACCTGTCAAGTGTCGCTGTCCTTTCTAAGCCCGGGTTCACATATATGCGGTGCGGTATCTTGCATTTGATTCGCACAGGAACCGCACCACATTCCTGTGCAATTCACATGTGATTTGTGTGCGTTGTGATTGGAACCGTACATTTTGTACGGCTCTATCCGCACTGCACCCACACCAAAAACATGCAGGACCCTTTTTTTGGGTCCACGCTAGAATCGGATCGCATAGGTACGTGTGAGTACCTATGCGATCCGATTCTGCACATCGCACCGTGTTATGCGGACCACTTTTGGGGTGTTGTTAACTTAACATACACACCCGCAGCGGTTCGCATGAACGGGGTGCGATTCTGATGCGGTGCAGAATTCGCACTGAAAACAATTCGAATTCCGAACCAGGGCTGACGTTCTTATGGTGATGCGAACACAGGAGGGCGTGAGCATATCTTACACGGAGTTTATGTGAACTGCCACTGGCACCTTGTTGCTTCATTGCCTTCCTCTAATACCTTGGTGGAGTTTATACCATTGCTGCTCATCATTCAGCTCTTTACCACTATTCAGCAGGATCAATAGGGAGTTCCCATCAGCACTGTGGAGGAGGACAGGGAGAGGTATGGAGGGCTGGCCTACATCACCCGCATCCCTCCACATTTTGGGAGGATAGGGGGGATTGTAGGGGGGTATCTCTTTGGGGTGACCTTGGGAGGGTGGGGGTGGAGTGCTGGGGTGCGGTCCTAATTGGGTGCTCTCATGTTCTGAGGGGGGGGCTGTTTGGGTGGAGGTTGATTTGGTGGGGGGGGGGGGGGGAGGGGATGGATGGGTTTATGCACTGAACTGTTCATTATTATTATTATACAGGATGTATATAGCACCAACAGTTGCTCAGCGCTTTACAATATAAAAGGAAGACAATAGGGATAGGAGGGCCTGATCCTGGGAGCTTACAATCTAAGAGGGAGGGGCTACTGATACAAAAGGTAATAACTGGACTGGTAGGAATAATAGAAGATTCCATTATTAACTGAGGGCAGGATAGGCTTCCCTGAAGAGATAGGTTTTCAGAGGTCACCTAAAAGTGAGCAGAGTAGGCGATAGACTGATAAATTGGGGTAGAGAGTTCCAGAGGATGGGGGAAGCTCTGGAGAAGTCCTGTTTGTTGTTTATGTCCTATAGTGCTTTATCCTTTTTTTTGGTGTGAGGAGTTTTTGCACTTCTTTTTTTTGGATGCGCATCCCCCTTAAAATTTCAGTGTTGGGGGGGCTTGGCATGAGCAGAAATACCACTCCCAGGACGGGCTCTAGAGCCATTGGGGTTTTTTATACCATCCACAAAGTGCAGCGCGGCTCACACATGCACAGTAGGCGCCCATTTGTGAAGATGTCACAACCGTGTGCCCACAAATGAGACACCAGCTCTGGTGAGTACATTGCTGGATCCCTGGACAGGCGAGTGTCTGTTTATTAATAGCCATCAGCCAGTTTGTGTATCTGCTGACTTTTTTTAAACACAAATATGACTCCTCTTTAAAGAATATGCAAATTCAACATTTCAAAATCCTGATATGTGCCTGCTATACCATGTACGTGTATGAAGAAGTATCCTATTCTCTTTGTATTGCATACCTGTTGTACATGCCAGTCCCTTTGCTTTCGTAAAAACTGACCACACTAAGTAGGACAGTACAGCATGGTCAGTCTTCTGGCTGTGGTGGGAGCTTATCCAATGATCAGACCTGTGCTGATACACCTCTGCTCTCTGCCACAGCCACTCACTGGGAGGACCAGTGTACTGCTGTGTTCCTCCTCCACCTCTATAGGCTCCTGCAGTTGAGAACAGAGGGTATGTGACAACTTATAAAAAGGGGGGAAAAAAAAAAAAGGTATCTATCATGTGTTTTTATATACATGCATACATGTTTTGCCTTTGATTTCTACTTTAAACTGATTGGGTTGTTTTACAAGGCGAGGGGCCACATATTTTAATTCTATTAAAGAGTATCTCCTCTGCGCTCACCAATTGTGAAAGTGTTAGAAATGCAAATATATGCCTCTCCCTGTTGCAGCTGTGACACTGATAGGTGTTCCCTCATCAACTAATCCAATGCAAAAAATAAAGTGCAGTGCAACCTCCTCTCTGATTAATATATATGTGCTACATCAAATATTGTGTGACCTGATTATCCAAAATAAACTTTTTTCTTAATTTATACAATAAAATGTATCCTTGTGTCCGTGTACACAGTATATTTTGTGTTCACTGTTGTCGCTTGCCACTGATATATACACAAAAACAATCTACCCACATAAAGTGAAATAAAAAACAATTTCATATAATTACAATAACAATTACTAAATTGTCCATGTGTACCAAGTGGGATGAGATGACTATATGCAGCAATGGTTAAAATTAGAGATGAGCGAATCGAAGTAGGCGAAGTGGAATACGTTTCGAATATTAGGAAAATTTCGATTCGCGTCGAATCCGAAAATAAGCAGACTTCGGATGCGCGAATCGCAATTTTTCCTAAAAATGGCGGCGACGGAGCGGGGATGTCTGGGAAGGCGCGCTGACCCCATAATGCATTCATTCATGACATGTGATCGCATTAGCCAATCAGCAGCCAGCCAGCCAGCACAGTGTAATGGTCGAGCTATAAATGGCGGCCATTTTAGAATTCTCCATTTGCCTCCAGTCATTCAACAGAGGCAGACCTGGCTGTATGCAGGGAGAGAGTTAGGGACAGAGAAACGTTAGTTAGGGCCAAAGAATCGTTACTTAGGGCCACAGAAACGTTACATAGGGCCACAGAAACGTTACTTAGGGCCACAGAAACGTTACTTAGGGCCACAGAAACGTTACTTAGGGCCACAGAAACGTTACTTAGGGCCACAGAAACGTTACTTAGGGCCACAGAAACGTTACTTAGGGACAGACAGAATTGTTACTCAGGGACAGACAGAATTGTTACTCAGGGACAGACAGAATTGTTACTGAGGGATACAGAATTGTTACTAAGGGCCACAGAATCGTTACTTAGGGCCACAGAAACGTTACCTAGGGCCACAGAATTGTTACTTAGGGACAGACACAGAATTGTTACTAAGGGCCACAGATTTGTTACTGAGGGCCACAGAATCGTTACTTAGGGCCACAGAATTGTTACTTAGGGACAGACACAGAATTGTTACTGAGGGACACAGATTTGTTACTGAGGGCCACAGAATCGTTACTTAGGGCCACAGAAACGTTACTTAGGGCCACAGAATTGTTACTTAGGGACATACACAGAATTGTTATTGAGGGACACAGAATTGTTACTAAGGGCCACAGAAACATTACTTAGGGCCACAGAATCGTTACTTAGGGCCACAGAATTGTTACTTAGGGACATACACAGAATTGTTACTGAGAGGGACACAGATTTGTTACTGAGGGCCACAGAATCGAATCGTTACTTAGGGCCACAGAAACATTACTTAGGGCCACAGAAACATTACTTAGGGCCACAGAAACATTACTTAGGGCCAGACACAGAATTGTTACTGAGGGACACAGATTTGTTACTGAGGGCCACAGAATCGTTACTTAGGGCCACAGAATCGTTACTTAGGGCCACAGAAACGTTACTTAGGGCCACAGAATTGTTACTTAGGGCCACAGAATTGTTACTTAGGGCCACAGAATTGTTACTTAGGGACAGACACAGATTTGTTACTGAGGGCCACAGAAACGTTACTGAGGGCCACAGAAACGTTACTTAGGGCCACAGAAACGTTACTTAGGGCCACAGAAACGTTACTTAGGGCCACAGAAACGTTACTTAGGGACACAGAAACGTTACTTAGGGACAGACACAGAATTGTTACTGAGGGACAGACACAGAATTGTTACTGAGGGACAGAGATTTGTTACTGAGGGCCACAGAACCGTTACTTAGGGCCACAGGAAACGTTACTTAGGGCCACAGAATTGTTACTTAGGGCCACAGAATTGTTACTTAGGGACAGACACAGAATTGTTACTGAGGGACACAGATTTGTTACTGAGGGACACAGATTTGTTACTGAGGGCCACAGAAACGTTACTTAGGGCCACAGAAACGTTACTTAGGGCCACAGAAACGTTACTTAGGGACACAGAATTGTTACTCAGGGACAGACACAGAATTGTTACTGAGGGATACAGAATTGTTACTGAGGGCCACAGAAACGTTACTTAGGGCCACAGAAACGTTACTCAGGGACAGACACAGAATTGTTATTGAGGGACACAGAATTGTTACTGAGGGCCACAGAACCGTTACTTAGGGCCACAGAAACGTTACTTAGGGCCACAGAATCGTTACTTAGGGCCACAGAACCGTTACTTAGGGCCACAGAACCGTTACTTAGGGCCACAGAACCGTTACTTAGGGCCAGACACAGAATTGTTACTGAGGGACACAGACTTGTTACTGAGGGCCACAGAAACGTTACTTAGGGCCACAGAATCGTTACTTAGGGCCACAGAAACGTTACTTAGGGCCACAGAAACGTTACTTAGGGCCACAGAATTGTTACTCAGGGACAGACACAGAATTGTTACTGAGGGATAAAGAATTGTTACTGAGGGACACAGAACCGTTACTTAGGGCCACAGAAACGTTACTTAGGGCCACAGAATTGTTACTTAGGGATGGAAACAGAATTGTTACTGAGGGACACAGATTTGTTACTGAGGGCCACAGAAACGTTACTTAGGGCCACAGAAACGTTACTTAGGGCCACAGAAACGTTACTTAGGGCCACAGAATTGTTACTTAGGGATGGACACAGAATTGTTACTGAGGGCCACAGATTTGTTACTGAGGGCCACAGAAACATTACTTAGGGCCACAGAATCGTTACTTAGGGCCACAGAAACTTTACTTAGGGCCACAGAATTGTTACTTAGGGACACAGAATTGTTACTCAGGGGACAGACACAGAATTGTTACTGAGGGATACAGAATTGTTACTGAGGGCCACAGAAACGTTACTTAGGGCCACAGAAACGTTACTTAGGGACAGACACAGAATTGTTACTGAGGGACACAGAATTGTTACTGAGGGCCACAGAACCGTTACTTAGGGCCACAGAACCGTTACTTAGGGACACAGAATTGTTACTCAGGGACAGACACAGAATTGTTACTGAGGGCCACAGAACTGTTACTGAGGGCCACAGAACTGTTACTTAGGGCCACAGAAACGTTACTTAGGGCCACAGAAACGTTACTTAGGGCCACAGAAACGTTACTTAGGGCTACAGAAACGTTACTTAGGGCCACAGAATCGTTACTTAGGGCCACAGAAACGTTACTTAGGGACACAGAAACGTTACTTAGGGCCACAGAATTGTTACTCAGGGACAGACACAGAATTGTTACTGAGGGACACAGATTTGTTACTGAGGGCCACAGAAACGTTACTTAGGGCCACAGAAACGTTACTTAGGGCCACAGAATTGTTACTCAGGGACAGACACAGAATTGTTACTGAGGGACACAGATTTGTTACTGAGGGCCACAGAACCGTTACTTAGGGCCACAGAACCGTTACTTAGGGACACAGAATTGTTACTCAGGGACAGACACAGAATTGTTACTGAGGGCCACAGAACTGTTACTGAGGGCCACAGAACTGTTACTTAGGGCCACAGAAACGTTACTTAGGGCCACAGAGAAACGTTACTTAGGGCTACAGAAACGTTACTTAGGGCCACACAGAATCGTTACTTAGGGCCACAGAATCGTTACTTAGGGCCACAGAAACGTTACTTAGGGACACAGAAACGTTACTTAGGGACACAGAATTGTTACTCAGGGGACAGACACAGAATTGTTACTGAGGGACACAGATTTGTTACTGAGGGACACAGATTTGTTACTGAGGGACACAGAACCGTTACTTAGGGCCACAGAAACGTTACTTAGGGACACAGAATTGTTACTCAGGGACAGACACAGAATTGTTACTCAGGGACACAGAATTGTTACTGAGGGACACAGAATTGTTACTGAGGGACACAGAATTGTTACTCAGGGACACAGAATTGTTACTGAGGGACACAGAATTGTTACTCAGGGACAGACACAGAATTGTTCCTGAGGGACACAGAATTTTTACTCAGGGACACAGAATTGTTACTGAGGGACACAGAATTGTTACTGAGGGACACAGAATTGTTACTCAGGGACACAGAATTGTTACTCAGGGACACAGAATTGTTACTCAGGGACAGACACAGAATTGTTACTGAGGGACACAGAATTGTTGCTAAGGGCCAGAATTGTTACTGAGGGCCACAGAACTGTTACTTAGGGCCCACAGAAAACGTTACTCAGGGACACAGAATTGTTACTCAGGGACAGACACAGAAATTGTTACTCAGGGACACAGAATCGTTTAATTAAAGAGTATGTCAGACAACATGCAGAGGAGTGGCAGAGGAGGCAATGTTTTAGGAGCGAGCAGACGTGGCAGCAGAGGAAGGGGTCGAGGCAGCACTATTCGCAGCCAGAGGCCAGTGCTCCCGGTGTCATCCAGTACAGTGAGGAAGAGCTAACAGAGGGCGATCAGGAACAGGGGGGGAAGACATCCGCCTCTTCAGCAGCCAGGCGAAGAAGTAGTGGCGAGGAGAGTGGCTCGGTAGCCGGTCTAGAGGACAGGTCTGTCTCCTGACACACACGCAGCCGAGGGGGCTAGTAGTGAGGCGGAGGAGACCCTAATTGATGATGATGAGGCTGATCGCACTTGGCAGCCTCGTCGTCATCCAGGCTATTGCTTTCCGCATCATCACAGGAGAAAGAGGGTGGCAGCTTGGCAGCGAGCAAAACAAGTCGGTGGGTTGTCTCCATCGCCACACTTGCCATGTGCCACTTTCAGATTTCAGCACCTCCTCACAACACTGCTGGTGTGTTCCATTGTTCCATTTTTTGTCATAGGGTGCTGGCAGATTACGGGCCTCCCATAGCTGCTGCCCAGGCCCCTAATCTGCCATGGGGCCCCTGATCTGTCCCCGCCTCCTCATGCTGCTGCCAGGTCCACAGTGTCTCATGCCATGTGCCACTTTCAGTCTCCTCACACTGCTGGTTCACTAGTGTTGACTGAATTTTTTTGACATAGGGTGCAGGCAGATTACGGGCCTCCCATAGCTGCTGCCAGGCTCCTAATCTGCCATGGGCCCCTATACCGCCTCCTCATGCTGCTGCCAGGTCCAGAGTCTCTCATGAGTCCCTGTACGGCCTCCCAATTGCTGCTGTCTCCATCGCCACACTCTGCCCATGTGCCACTTTCAGGTCTCCTCACACTGCTGGTAGTGTTCCCATTTTTTTTTGTCATAGGGTGCTGGCAGATTACGGGCCTCCCATAGCTGCTGCCGAATCGGCCCCTAATCTGCCCATGGGCCCCTATACCTGCCGTATTCGTCCTCTATGTAATGCTGCCAGGTCCAGAGTGCTCTCATGGGTCCCTGTACGGCCTCCCATTGCTGCTGTCTCCAATCGCCACAACACCTCTGCCATGTGCCACTATTTCAGGTCTCCTCACACACTGCTGGTGTGTTTCCATATTTTTGTCATAGGGTGCTGGCAGATTACGGGCCTCCCATAGCTGCTGCCAGGGGCCCCTAATCTGCCATGGGCCCCCTATAACCGCCTCCTCATGCTGCTGCCAGGTCCAGAGTCTCTCATGGGTCCCTGTATGTGCCTCCCATTGCTGCATGCTCCGTCACCATCGCCAACAACTGCCATGTGCCACATCATTTCAGGTCTCCTCAACACTGCTGGTGTTGTTCCATTTTTTATCATAGGGTAGCCTGGCAGATTAAAAACGGGCCTCCCATAGCTGCTGCCCAGGCCCCTAAATCTGCCATGGGCCCCTATACCGCCTTCTCATGCACTCAATGCTGCACAGGTCCAGAGTCTCTCATGGGTTCCCTGTACGGCCTCCCATTGCTGCTGTCTCCATCGCCACACTCTGCCATGGTGCCACTTTCAGGTCTCTCCTCACACTGCTGGGGTGTGTTCCATTTTTTGTCATAGGGTGCTGGGCAGAGTTACGGGCCTCCTATAGCTGCTGCCAGGCCATATAAATCTGTCCTTGGGCCCCTGTACCCCGCCACCTCATGCTGATGCCAGGTTCCACAGTGTCTCATGGCCATGTCGCGCCACTTTTCCGGTCCTCCTCACACTCTGCAGGAGTGTTGAATTTTTTGACCCCATAGGGTGCTGGGCAGATTACCGGGCCCTCCATAGGAAGCTGCTGCCGAGGGCCCCTAATCTGCCATGGGCCCCATAATACCTACCTCCTCTTGCTGCTGCCAGGTCCAGAGTCTCTCATTGGGTCCCAGTACGGCCACCCATTTGCTGCTGACTCCATCGCCACACTCTGCCATGTGCCACTTTCAGGTCTCTCCCTCACACCACTGCTGGTCGTGTTATCAATTTGTTTGACATAGGGAGCTGGCAGTTTACGCGCCTCACATTGCAGCTGCGAGGACCCCGAAATCTGCCATGGGCCCCCGGAGTACCGACATACATCATCCTGTGACCGTTGCAACAGAGGTGGAATTCAACCTACATATGTTGTGAAAGACCGCGCTTTTACGAACATCAACAAGGGCCATCACAGATTTCCAGATGTTATAAAATGCGGATAAAGGTACTTCCCTTGTAGTAACACTTAGCTGTCAGACCATTGGCAGCTCATAGCGTGACACTGCGCTTGCTCAGGCCCTTTGAGGTGCGCTCCAGCGCAATATTCGCTGACGTCGGCCAGGACTTATGGGCATGAATGACGTCATTCCGCTATGTGGCACGACCTGGAACAAATTGCTGGTATAACAATGGCTGGTCAGGGTGCTGGTAGACGTGGCGCACAGATCTCAACGCCACAATGAACCACTGTGTGGGGGCGGACAGGACAGGAAGAAGAGGAGGAGGTAGAGGAGGACATTGGTGCTCAGGAATTATTGAGTGAAATGGTGAGTTTTTTTCCACTCAGCGGACAGGAGTGGAGGAGCAGGAGCATCTGGTAGAGGAGGAGGAAGAGGAGACAGAGGTACCCAGACGCATCGTGTGCAGTATGCTGTGGAGATGGAGGCAGGGAGTTCCTCGCATTCCTTGGCACAAATGGCCCTTAGCATGCTCTCTTGCTCATGCGTACCGACAGTCGAATAATAACCATCAGACATGGAGGGATGACTTTTGGCTGTCCACCTTGTTTGGACCCTCGCTAACCGTTTCAAAAATGGTAGTGGCCCTTTTTCACACCTTGCTGAGAGGGAGGCCAAAAATAACGTACTATAAAAAACCACCTATGTAGTCAGCTGGTCTCTGCCTGTCTGCGCCAACGTCCATCCTCAGACACTGTGGGCCCTGTGCGCTCGCGTTCCGCTGCCATTGGCAGCAGGGGAGGGGTGGGTGGTGTAGGAGCAGTGGCATGCTCCACCAGCAGCAGCTGCCTCAGTCTGCAGTCGATGATGAGTACTTTCTTTCTTCACCACCCAGCGCAGTGAGGAAACTAATAACAGCCGCGCAGCAGCAGCAGCAGCAGCATCAGGTGGACCTGGAGCAGGACCTCAAACAACAGGCTTAGGCCTACTTGGGACAGCACCCTGCCTGCCAACCGAGGTAGACAATCCCCTTGAACTACTGGGCAAACGAAACTTGACCTTTGGCCCCAACTAGCTGAATTTGCCCTTGAAAGGGCTGTCATGCCCGGCCAGTAGCGTGGCATCGAGCTGGTAGAGCGCAGTGTTTAGTGCGGCAGGAGGAGGTATTTGCAACTTCTCCGCGGAGGACACGACTGTCCACCCAAAGTGTGGGAGAGACTCACGATTTGTGAAAATGAATCAGGCGTGGATTAGTCTGGATTTCAAACCACCAGTTCCTGACACAACTGACTAAAATCCGCCATGAATCATGCCCCCAAACATGTGCCACTTTTCAGGTCTCCTCACACACTGCTGGTGTGTTCCATTTTTTTGTCATAGGGTGCTGGCAGATTACGGGCCCTCCCATAGCTGCTGCCAGGCCCCTAAATCTGCCATGGCCCCTATATGATAACCGCCTCCTCATGCTGCTGCCAGGTCCTGAGTCCTCTCATGGGTTTCCCTGTGACGGCCGTCCCATTGCTGCTGTCTCCATCGACCACACTCTGCCATGTGCCACTTTCAGGTCTCCTCACACTGCTGGTGGGTTTCCATTTTTTTGTCATAGGGGTGCTGGCAGATTACGGGCCTCCCATAGCTGCTGCTGCCAGGCCCCTAATCTGCCATGGGCCCCTATACCGCCTCCTCATGCTGCTGCCAGTCCAGAGTCTCTCATGGGTCCCTGTACGGCCTCCCATTGCTGCTGTCTCCATCGCCACACTCTGCCATGTGCCACTTTCAGGTCTCCTCACACTGCTGGTGTGTTCCATTTTTTGTCATAGGGTGCTGGCAGATTACGGGCCTCCCGTAGTCCTGCTGCCAGGCCCCCTAATCTGCCATGGGCCCCCGTACCGACTCCTCATGCTGCTGCCAGGCCCCCGTAATCTGTCATGGGCCCCTGTTTGTCGCTTGTTGGCATATTCCGCTCGTTCAGATGCTCCTTCTCCTGCTACTCCTCTTCCACGGATTCCGTCAGCAGTCTTTCTTGGAATCCGTTTCCAAGAGACTCAACAGTTTGCGAGCACGCACCCGACGGTGCAGAAGCTGAACGTCCTCCTGTCCAAGTTGCTCTGCTGCCAGGCTCGTAATCTGTCATGCGCCCCTGTACCCGCCCCGCCTCCTCATGCTGCTGCAGGAGGATCCAGATGGTGTGTCATGGGCCCCCGTACCCCGACTCCTCATGCTGCTGCCAGGCCCGTAATCTGTCATGGGCCCCTGTAACCGCCTCCCCATGCCATGCTGCCTGCCAGGTCCAGAGTGTGTCATGGGTCCCTGTACGGCCTCCCATTTGCTGCTGCCAGGCCCGTAAATCTGCCATGGGCCCCGCCGTACCAACTCCTCATGCTGCTGCCAGGCCCGTAATCTGTCATGGGCCCCCTGTACCCGGCCTCCTCATGCTGCTGCCAAGGTCCAGAGTGTGTCCATGGGTCCCTGTACGGCCTCCCATTGCTGCTGCCAGGCCCGTAATCTTACCATGGGCCCCTGTACCGCCTCTCATGCTGCTGCCAGGTCCAGAGTGTGTCATGGTCCCCTGTACCCGCCTCCCATTGCTGCTGTCTCCATCGCCACACTCTGCCATGTGCCACTTTCAGGTCTCCCTCACACTGCTGGTGGTTTCCATTTTTGTCATAGGGTGCTGTATGGCCTTCCATTGCTGCTGCCTCCACCGCCACACTGTGGCTCCACACTCTGGTTTTTGGCCCCGTGACTGCCCAAATGAGTGAAGTGTGCGGTGATTCTAAGATCGACGGCACTCATACTGCATGTCATACTGACTGTCAGTATTATTTCTCTTCCCCAGCAGACTCCAAGGGCATTTAAATTAAAGGTACAGTGTTCTGCACTAATATAAAGCTCTCTGAAGCCTAGAAACAACCCTTTTATAAGTTAAATTCGCAGCGAATATATTCGACTCGAATCAAAAATTTTCCACGAATTCGCCGAATCAGTCGAATCGAATTTTTGAATACTTTGCTCATCTCTCTAGTTAAGATGACTAAATCAATAAATCCTTAACTAAAATAAAATAAATATCATGCAATAATAGTCCAGCACTCCAAATGATCAAGAAGTCTGATCAGTCTATTGATCAGACTTGTGCTGACATCCCCCCCCCCCCCCCTCCCCAGCCATTCACTGGGAAGATCAGCATCCTGCAGTTTCTCCTCCTCCACCTCTCTAAGCAGCAGTGCTGAGAACAGAGGGCATGTGATCACACTTATAAAAAGGGGAAAAAAGGTATCTAGAATGTTTTTTTATATCCATACAAAAATGCTTTGCCTTTGATTTCTATTTTAAACTGAATGGGTTGTATTACAAGATAAGAGTCCACATCCTTTAAATCTAGAGATTTGAGCAGAGGTGTATTTACCAAAAGGCAAACAAGGCATTTGCGTAGGGCGGCATTTATCAGGGGGGGACAGCACTGCCCCTCAGAAGACGGGGGCACATGCAAGATGGGGGACCTGGTGGGTTTGGAGAGAGGCTGCAGGTTTCATGTTCCCAGGGATGTCCAGAGCTGTGAAGGAGAGTATCTTTCTCTGTCTTGCTGTGGTGGATGGTGTATAGGGGGCAGTGGAAGGCTCTCTCGGGGGGCAGGGGTGTTGTTGGTCAATGTCAGGCTCTCTTTGCAGGGGGGGGGGGGCACCGATTTTTGTGTTGCCTAGGCTAGCACAAAACCTAAATACACTACTGGATTTGAGTACAGCAGTGGTATAACCAACACAATCACATTCATCATCTGCTAGGCTCAATGGGACCGTCTACAGAACAATGAATTAATCTGATATAGGGAGTTCACACAAATCAAAACTGTTGCTATGTAGGTCGATCCTAATTTACAGGACCAACGTGTTTGGGCTTAGCACAATGGGTATAGTTTTGAATTTGGTTTTCAGTATATATGAGGATTTGGTATGGATATTATAATCAGATTGTAGGTATGGGTTTATGTGACTTTAAATATTTAATTCTTTAAAGTAGAACTCCAGCCAAAGTTTTTTTTTTTTCCAGTATTCTCTAGTAAAGCTGGGTATACACTACAAGAAATTCAGGCAAAATGACCATCTGGTTTTCCTTGACGTTTCACAGCAAGTCAAACTCAAGGAAGGTTGATTGTTGTCAAAAATTCTGGGACAAAGCTTTTTTTCTTTTTGGTTTAAACGTAGCATTTTCATAAGAAACATTATACCGTACTTTTATTTCTGATCATGTGCAGTCTTTTATATCCGATTTTTCTTGTACCCAATGCAAAAATTGTTAGTTCTGTTCACTTACGAGAAAAATTCTGGAGTTTGTTTCTTTGGAAAGTCTGAATCAGTTGTCAAAAGTTGTGTACACACTCTACGACGCTGGAACGATCGTTCCTCATACGGGCTTTTTCTTCTGATTTTGCCATATCCCACTTAAGGCATTTTCATAAAATAATATATGATGATAGTTGTCCTTGTGGTAACAGATGTTTTAGGGTTTCTAAACTATCAATCATTGAAGGTCACAGAGGGGTCCATATGTCAGCTCCCAACATAGCCATGTTTTCTCAGTTGACCCCACCACTGTCTCGGTCTCAAAATCAGCCAAATTGTTAGTTCTGTTCACTTACGAGAAAAATTCTGGAGTTTGTTTCTTCAGAAATTTTGGAAAGTCTGAATCAGTTGTCAAAAGTTGTGTACACACTCTACAACGATGGAACGATTGTTCCTCATACGGGCTTTTTCTTCTGATTTTCTCAGAACCATGCCAGTCCCTCTGCCAGAAGGCATTTTCATAAAATAATATATGACGATAGTTGTCCTTGTGGTAACAGATGTTTTAGGGTTTCTAAACTATCAATCATTGAAGGTCACAGGGGAGTCCATATGGCAGCTCCCAACATAGCCATGTTTTCTCAGTTGACCCCATCACTGTCTCGGTCTCAAAATCAGCCAAGGGATTTTTTTCTCAGCTGTTCAGCTTGAGGAAACACAAAAGGGCTCTCCACCCAAGTGAAGAATGTTGGTCAAAATGATAAATTCCACTTTTTATAGTGTCTGTTTTGTGTGAACTTTGTTTAACAAAACACTATTGAAATTATATTATTTTTTCCCTTTTTAAAATAGAGGTTCCTTTAATATCTGCAATCACACTCTTCAGCCAAGAATGTACAGATATCAGCTCCTTTATTTAGAACCCACCAGGAATTCCTGAAAAGAGAGGTTCAGCTTTCATTAAAAATGTCATCCCCTTAGGACAGAACAGAATATGAGAACTGTAGGAAGAATAATCATCTTTAAAAATGTAATTCAATATAATTAATATTTTAGAGCTTGTGATCATGAACAGTTGTCACTTCACCGGTTTCAGGCTTCCCATGCTCAGGAGGAATTTTTTTTCTTTACCATGAACAAAAGTAATATTAGTACTAATAATTCAGGTTGATTCAAAGAAGAACTTAAAGTGGAACTAAACCTATCAATTTAACAGTTTAAAAAAGCAGTACCCAACCGCGATAATGTAACGGTCACGTTTGCTTGGGTTCTCAACTAAACTGTCCAACCATCAAATGGTTGGTGTCATAACTGATCACGTGTAGAATTGTGGCAGTTGAGGATCAAACAGAGGATACGATGGCAGCTTTTTTGGATGAAAAAGATAGGAGGGTTTTGTTCCGCTTTAAGCCCATTTTTCCACCCAATGCCCTCCACAGACTACTAGGGCATTGCCATAAGACTTTCCACTTCCCCACTCCAAGTTTGCATTTTTACTTTATTCCTTTGGAGTTTCAATAAAGGAATAATTTTTAAGAATGTGCAATTAGCAGCAACAGTAACCCATAATATCTAATCAGATATTCTTGCTCACTGATCTAAGGCCCCTTTCACATGGGTGTTCCATATTTCCGTTTTTCATCTGTCTGTTTACAGATGAAAAACAGACCCCCGTGTATTTCCATGGACTTGCGGATGTAAACAGTTGAACATCTTTTTACATCCGTTAATGTCCGCATCTGTTAACATCTGTTTTTTTTGAATGGAAGAAAACCCTATTTTTCTTCTGCAAAATAACCCAGAACAGACAAAAAAAACAGATGTCAATGGATGTAAACGGACCAAAAATGGATAACAGTTGAAAAATGGATGTAAACAGATTAAAAACAATGAAAAAAAAGATGTAAACGAATGATAACCAGATGTAAACATATACAAAAAACAGATGTAAACTCATCTTTTTCTTTGAAAAAACATGGCTGAACTGAAGAATAAAAATGGAAAGCCTGTGTGAAAGGACCCTAACTGTAGTAGGTATAAAGCCTTCTTGGTTCTTGTGGGTTATTATGCATGGCATATGATCAGTAACTGTTACTAGTTTTTTTTATTTTTTATTTAAATTCTCTTTGAAGTACCCTAGAGGCTTCTTGTGTTACTATTTAGGTGAGAATATGACGTCTATGGCAGAAAAGCTCATGGGAAATGCATGTGAGTATAAGCTCTCTTGCATAGTTATTGCCTTATTTAAAATAATTCATAAGGAAGATCCCGTAAGATAACAAGTATATGGTTTCATTCCTCCTAGAACAGGAGACTTCATAAATTCACTTCTCTAAATCTCAATGTGTCAGGATCCAGAACCAAACCCAGAGGCTCTGCTGGAGTGCTGGATAGTTCACCTCATCTCTTGATCAACCTTCCCAGAGATCTAGTTTCTAAATGAACACTGCTGGTATCTTGCTCTATCGCTACGCTATATTCCTACAGACTTCTACTTTTGCAGTCCACTTATGCTTCATCATTCTTAACTCA